TGCAGGTCTGAGCTCAGCCTGTGCCCAGCGGCCTTCCTGGTGGGGCCGCGGCTCACTCAGCGAGGCCGTGCTGCCTGCTCTCCAGAGCTGAGATGGGTTTGCGTTGTGTAAGCCACTGGCTTTGTGGTGATTGGTTAGAGCAACAGGGGGAACGAACACCAGCCCCATGACACAGGCGTTCTTACCCCTTTCACACAGTGACGGGGTGGCGAGGGGGTTTGCTGGCAGCTCCTCAGTGGTGGGGCCTGGGCCCTTCCCCTCCCCTGGGCACAGGCCTGTGGGCACCCCGCTTCCCGGCTCTGGGGGCACAGGCCTGTGAACACCCCGCTGCCCGGCTCTGGGGACACAGGCCTGTGAACAGCCCGCTGCCCGGCTCTGGGGACACAGGCCTGTGAACAGCCCGCTGCCCGGCTCTGGGGACACAGGCCTGTGAACAGCCCGCTGCCCGGCTCTGGGGACACAGGCCTGTGAACAGCCCGCTGCCCGGCTCTGGGGACACAGGCCTGTGAACAGCCCGCTGCCCGGCTCTGGGGACACAGGCCTGTGAACAGCCCGCTGCCCGGCTCTGGGGACACAGGCCTGTGAACAGCCCGCTGCCCGGCTCTGGGGACACAGGCCTGTGAACAGCCCGCTGCCCGGCTCTGGGGACACAGGCCTGTGAACAGCCCGCTGCCCGGCTCTGGGGACACAGGCCTGTGAACAGCCCGCTGCCCGGCTCTGGGGACACAGGCCTGTGAACAGCCCGCTGCCCGGCTCTGGGGACACAGGCCTGTGAACAGCCCGCTGCCCGGCTCTGGGGACACAGGCCTGTGAACAGCCCGCTGCCCGGCTCTGGGGACACAGGCCTGTGAACAGCCCGCTGCCCGGCTCTGGGGACACAGGCCTGTGAACAGCCCGCTGCCCGGCTCTGGGGACACAGGCCTGTGAACAGCCCGCTGCCCGGCTCTGGGGACACAGGCCTGTGAACAGCCCGCTGCCCGGCTCTGGGGACACAGGCCTGTGAACAGCCCGCTGCCCGGCTCTGGGGACACAGGCCTGTGAACAGCCCGCTGCCCGGCTCTGGGGACACAGGCCTGTGAACAGCCCGCTGCCCGGCTCTGGGGACACAGGCCTGTGAACAGCCCGCTGCCCGGCTCTGGGGACACAGGCCTGTGAACAGCCCGCTGCCCGGCTCTGGGGACACAGGCCTGTGAACAGCCCGCTGCCCGGCTCTGGGGACACAGGCCTGTGAACAGCCCGCTGCCCGGCTCTGGGGACACAGGCCTGTGAACAGCCCGCTGCCCGGCTCTGGGGACACAGGCCTGTGAACAGCCCGCTGCCCGGCTCTGGGGACACAGGCCTGTGAACAGCCCGCTGCCCGGCTCTGGGGACACAGGCCTGTGAACAGCCCGCTGCCCGGCTCTGGGGACACAGGCCTGTGAACAGCCCGCTGCCCGGCTCTGGGGACACAGGCCTGTGAACAGCCCGCTGCCCGGCTCTGGGGACACAGGCCTGTGAACAGCCCGCTGCCCGGCTCTGGGGACACAGGCCTGTGAACAGCCCGCTGCCCGGCTCTGGGGACACAGGCCTGTGAACAGCCCGCTGCCCGGCTCTGGGGACACAGGCCTGTGAACAGCCCGCTGCCCGGCTCTGGGGACACAGGCCTGTGAACAGCCCGCTGCCCGGCTCTGGGGACACAGGCCTGTGAACAGCCCGCTGCCCGGCTCTGGGGACACAGGCCTGTGAACACCCCGCTGCCCGGCTCTGGGTTGGTCGTCCTCCTTGTCATGGTGCCTCTTTCCCCTTCTTTGCACTTTTCTCACCTGTGAGCTTCCCCGAGGCGGTCTGGACGGGGCGGTTCTGGACGGACAGACGGACATGTCTGCTCTCTCGCCTTCACGTTCCGGCGTTTCTAGGAGGGGGAAGACAAAATCTTCTTGATCAACAAGCTTCACTCCGTCTACGAGAGGAAGGAGAGGAGCGGGTGAGGCTTCGGGGGGCGGCTCCCGGTGGGCGTGAGTGGGAAGGACGGCCGGCCGGGCACCTTCCCCAGGGGCAGCGCGTGGGGGGTGGGAGGGAGGTGGCTGCTGGCTCCCGGTGGGGCATTTGGGGGAGGAGCAAGGTGGTTACATTGGTGAGAAAGTGAAGGCGCGGCCTGCAGGGGGCAGGGTGGAGCGGGCCTCTCAGCCCTTTCCCTCCTTCCTCCCGCCACGCCCTCTCTCTGTAAGTGGCGGGGCAGCCTCACTGGCCTTTCTCCTTTCCCTGCCCCGTTCTCCCCGTGGGGTCAGCACCCAAAATGCTGAGATTCAGCCTCATTGCCCTGGGCCCGCAGGAAGCAGCCCGCCTCACCCTTCAGCATAGTTACTTGTGGTTAAGCCCAGGGAGAGGGAGATGAGGTCAGACAGACAGACAGACAGACCCCTCAGCTGGGAGGGGGGGGGTGGGCGGGCTCAGCTCC